ACAAAAGCTCAAACATATCAAACGAATGGAAAACAACCGTCACATTCCTGACTTGGTACAGGCATTTCCTAATGTAGAAAGTGGTGGATTAAACCTGGTTTTAAAGCTAGCTAAACCTCTCACTTGTACCCCAGTCGCATAGAATTCCATTATATTGACAACAACGTGTGAGCAAAACAAACAGACATAATAGGTAAAATTGTCAAAAATTGGGGTACAGCCGTCAACATTGTAAGATAATCTTAATCACTACATAAACAAATAACTATTTTAACAAAGAAAAAAAAACATTTGGCATATAGACACTCTATAGACAAAGTACATAATCAAAAATGAAAGACAGGAGTTAAAAATGACCAAAGCACAATAACACAATGGCGGGATGTATAAGTACCGAGCCACGCCAAAAGTATATTACCAAAAATGCACTAAACAGTAAAGGTTAAAAATGTAAAAGGACAAATAAAAAAGAACACTATAACACATTATTAAGGTGATAAACAACGTCAGTACCTAGAATCTATACTACATATTTATTATAAGGCTAAATCCAAACTATACTAGTGTTTGTCGATACTTTTATTTTGGCATTGCATAAGTCATGTCTTCTTTGACTGACTGTCCATGGCGTTAAAACACTAAATCCCTGGGATGTGTTTTAGTTGATTTTAGTCTCTGATGCTTGATTTTTTTATTATTAATTGTTTTTGGCTTTTAACTAGCTTTCAGTAACTGCGAGTACTCTGAAATTGTACTTTCGTGTTAATTTAACCTGTTACACAATTTGTAATGCATTTTCGTTATTCAATGTTTACTTATTTTGTGTTATATCTCGTCTCGCTATTTTTAATATGTACCACCTTTGATAACTATTTAGTATGACGATACATGTTCACTGCTGTTCTCGTACTATAAACAACAAATTTATTTATTTTGTAAAAAATATCTCCGTACTCCTAACAACAAACTTATTATATTTAAATTTACCTGTGTACGTTATTTTATTTAACGCCATTTTGTCCAAGGTCAAAGTTGTCTTTTTGACATTGTGTCATAGATCAAATTTACTCGTTCAGTGTAGGTTTACTTGTTTGTGTTAATATGTCTTTTTAGTTGAGTTAAACCATTTCAATTGATATTTTATAGTGTGTCTTTCTACGATGTAATGTTACACTACTATATCAGGTTAGGGTGAAGGTTGGCGCCTGTTAAAACGTTTAAACCTGCTGCATTTGTTTGCACCTGTCTTAAGTCAGGAACCTGTTTCAGTGGTTGTCATTTGTTGATGTGGTTCTTAAGTGTTTCTCGTTTCTCGTTTTTTGTATTGATTAGACCGGGGTTTTTCCTGTTTGAATTGTTTTACACTAGTCATTTTGAGGCCCTTTATAGCTTGCTGTTCGGTGTGAGCCAAGGCTCCGTGTTGAAGGCCGTACTTTGGCCTATAATTGTTTACTTTTTACACATTGTGACTTGGATTGAGAGTTGTCTCATTGTCACTCATACCACATATTCTAATTTCTATTCAAGACCACCATGTATTATTTGTGAGGTTACGGAATATTTATCAACAAAGTCTTGGTATCTTCTAATGAACTTTTTAAGAAAAAGGACGAGACGTTCTTTTACATAACCTTGGCTGCTCAGACACTGGTGACGTTTTATAAAGTCTGAGTAAAGCTACAAGCTCTTGATTAACGAATGAGTAGAGAAATGTGTATCCCATATGCAGGTGAAGTTGGTATATTGCTGCTAAGGTGGGGGGGGGGATTATAATTTCAAAATTAAAATCGTGTTCACGAAATCTGGTCTATTTAGGAATTTACTGTTGGTTTTATTATGCCACAAAATGTAATAGAAATTTAAACTATAAGAAAACAAAAACAATTCAAATTAAAGCAATTTTATGAAAATTAAGAAAAGTTTATTCTGATTATTGATAAATGAGAATATACAATTTATTGATTAACCCATATAGATAAAATGCCATACATCTTTAACCCTTTATCATACACTGAGATAAATAAACTCGGTTTCTTTTTAATACTGTCTTTTTAACTGAGGACAAGGGACTCTTGAAAAATTACTAAACTATTGTATTTTGTTGTTTTTGTGTTTGTTTTAGCTTTGTCACAATCTATAGTATATTATAACAATACAGATTTGAATTTGAATATAAATCGAAACATAAATAAATATACCATCGTATTGTTAATGTTTTAAATAAATATTCCTTCATTTCATTAAGTACTATGTTCCATAAAACAAAACTTTAAAGGTTATTGTGAAAGTAACGTCGCACTTGTTTTGAACATCTTTTGTATCATGTCTAAGGTATTTAATTACGCTCTAGCCCGTGATCTGAATTATAAACTATTTCCTAGAAAAGAGAAACTTAAGTGTCCCAAAATATCCCCCTTTGAAACACGTACGTTTCCTCTATTAATTAATCTGATAAATGACAATTTTTGTAAAGTCATTAAAAGACAAAACAATAGAAGTTGTTTTGCTGATGTATAGAGACAAACAATTAAATTATTGTATAAAACAGAATGGCCAGTTGGTAACGTCTTTAACAGAGAGGCGAAAGATACCAAAGGGACATTCAACCTCATAAGTCGAAAATAAACTGACATCGCCATGGCTAAAAAAGAAAAGGACAAATAGAAAAATAATAGTACACAAAACACAACATAGAAAACTAAAGACTGAGCAACACGAACCCCACCAAAAATTGGGGGTGATCTCAGGTGCTCCAGAAGGGTAAGCAGATCCTGTCCCACATAAGGCACCCGTCGTGTTGCTCATATTAGTACAAACTCTAAATAGGTAGGTCACATTCGGGGAAAGGAGAACGGGATTGTAGTTACAAAATTTGGAACTTATTCCGTATCATCTGTGAAACGGATATTCCATAACGGTCAACCAACTCGTGATGGCGTTCGTAAAATTTTTGAAAGGATGATTTCAACTTCACCACTTGGAATTCTTGGTTTAATAGCTTTCTTGTGAGCAGCAATCCTCAAACACGTAATACGTTGGAAATATTATTTTATTTATCATTTGCTAAACGACAGGTCACTCTAGTGGAGCCTGTATTTTTCATCCATCCAGAGAACCTGAATTCATCATCACTGGTGCGTTCGTATTATTCCATCTTTATTTTTCTGTGTAGTTTTCAGCGGACTACACTGCCGCAAATTTAACATGGTAATATTTCATGTGACAGAAAATACTGCAGCTGGACGTCTTTGACATCGTACGCCCAAATATGACGTCATTCATTATATGACTTCACGTTATTATGACGTTACATTGTAACCATTTCAGAAAGACATTACTTTGAAAATTCCTCGATGTTTTATTTGAAAGATATACATTAATTAACAGGTGCTTACTTGAATTAACATATGGACATATATGTCCCTCCTCCAATCAAAAGGTTGACAAATGTGATTTATTTCTCCTTATAATGATTTCAACGAACCCTTGTCATATAGTGTTTACATATCCATGCCATGTTAGAGCAATGTTATATTTTTACAAATATTTTTTTGTGTTCGTTTTTGTTTTTCTTTGTTTATCCTCCTTTTTTCCGGAGGATTCGTTTGTTTGTGTTGGGTGTAGTCAGTTGTACCTGCCCAATATTTTTCATAGTTGATGTTATCATTTTAAAATGTACTACACTGACAGGGAAAACATTTTTATATTTTGTGATTTAATGTGAGATGGCGGATGAGGTCAGTTGTCAGGTAGAGAACTGCTTTACCTTCATAGTTGTTTTACAGTCCAAACCTTTTGGTCACTTCACTCCATCGGTAGAACGGTTTTGGGATGCACACCGTCTCCTTTGTTTTTTATTAAATTTCTTTGGAAAATCTAAGATCTGCTTCTGCCATTGATGAAAACCTCGTAAAAGGTAAAATTATTAAATAGAATTTTATAGATTAAAAAGGGGCACCAAAAATAAACATTGAACTCAATTATGCAAGAAAAAAGTAAAACAACAAAAAGCCGAACTCCAAGGAAAATTCAAAACGGAAAGTCCCTTATCAAATGACAAAATCAAAAGCTCAAACACATAAAACTAATAGAAAACAACTGTCATATTCCTGACTTTGTACAGGCATTTCCTTATGTAGAAAATGGTGGATTAAATCTGGCTTTATAGCTAGCTAAACCTGTCACATGTATGACAGTCGCATAAAATTCCATTATATTGACAACAATGTGTGAACAAAACAAACAGACATAATAGGTAAAAAAGTCAAAAATAGGGGTAGAACTGTGAGTACCTAAAATAACACTGAGAACCAACAATATTCTCATTTCTAGCTAAAACAATTTTAAAAAAATACATACATTTCTAACGGCAATTCTTGACAAATTACAGTCCATAACACCACTTAAATGAGACAATTATTTAACATTGTTTTTGTATTTACGAATACAACTTGAGTATCCTGATCTCTTTTTTTTTGTCAGAATACACTTGTTTTATATATATTTTACCAAATAATTTGATCAATCAATCTCTTTTGATTTTTGTTGACATTTGAAGAGGATTTGGCAATCCGTCGTTTGGAGGCCGTGTCAATATGTTAATAATGCAATACTAACAGTTTATCAAACTCTAATACGTAATATGTTATTACATACATGTAGTAATACATTAAAAGAATGATCAGCAAACATATTGGACATTACAACAGATTTAATCAATCCCAGACAACCGAGTGATTCGGAAAATAGACGTTCAAACGAAGGCAAACAACAACAAACACCACATGGTGTTTATAGCTGGAGTTAGTACATGTACACTATATAGGCACACAATGTGGTGGTGTTTAACCAGTTGTACACACGGACCTCCCTAGTTTGCCTATCTACGCAAAACATTGAAAACAAAAACACATTAAAAAAACGCATAGTGCAGGTAACAATAGGATGACTTCTAAATGTAACAAAAAAAAAAGAACTTTATATAAAAAAGGGTCAGAATGTACTCGCTACTATGGTTGCAAGCTCAGCTAGCTAGTGATGCTGTTTGAATACTGCCGTTCAAGAAAAACAAAGCAATTAAAAACACAACTCTTGACATGTTAAATTACGTCTCAATTTAAAATTTAAATGAAATCTGCAGCATTTGTGAGCGAGCAGATAGTATTCAAAACCTTTTAGACTTTTAGAATAAAGACCCATTTAACCGAATTAGTGAGTATATCACGCCTGTATTCCATGCTGTTGAGTTGAAAAATGTGAGAAAATTTTCTTTAGTATTTTAGTTGTACATTGTATTAACATCATTTCAATAAAAGGTTGTGAGAAATGTTACACTTGTGTTTACGATATTTAATTCAGTTTTTCATTTGTGATTCTTTATTCTCTAGACTCTCCTAAATGTCCTAGGCCTTCTGAAAATATATAACATTCCATTGATAAAAATTGTTTAAATGATCAACACAAGAACTTAAAGACATGTCATCATTATATAACCCACATATATATTTATTGTTACAAAATATGGATTTTTTTGCTACTGTACTGTAGTTCATTAAATATATTATAAATATTTCAAGAATTGCATTTTATTGTGTTTAATCTTTTTGCCTAAAGTTACTTTTTGAATATTTACAACTTCTGTACATGTAAGTCCTTGCTGTAGGTGTCAAAGGATCACTCTACTAGATGCGTATTGTGTGCGCTGCCTTTTATGTACTTAAATGTCAAAATCTTCTTCTTGTTATATTTGTCATTTTAATTGTTCATTCCAAGTAAATAAAACACTCTGTTATGCACTTTTTAAGAGGTAATACTTTCAGAATAGAGCACATAACAATAACAACATTTTCTTTCTTTAAAAAAATTATTATATGAATTCGTTAGCATTTTTTCCATATGCTTGTATAATAGCATAAAATATTGCAAGAATCAACTTTAAACTCAAAATAATAAGACACAAGTGAAGGATCTACTGATAAGTTTTTTGCAAACTGAGCTATGTTGACCTCTCAATGTTTTTAGAGTTTTGTGTCGTCGGGTTGATGTCTCATGTGACGTTTATCAAACATAATATTATATTCATGTTATCTACATTTAGGTGCAAAAAAGTAATGTTTGCAAGATGTACAAGCAGACATTACATGTTTTTTAATAGTTTTTCAATCAAACTTATTCTTTTTTCATAATTTTTCTTTTTCACTATTACCATGGAATAACGAAAACGTACGAAATTTAGGATACAATATATCAGTATCATCAATAAAACTCTTCGTGTTGAAGGTCTTACTGTAACGTTTAGTCTCCATTCTGAACCTAAAGACAAATAAAAGGAATAAGTTAAACATTGTATCATAAAAATGGCCAACGTCGACTTAAATCATACTTTGGACATACATTTCGGATTCAAACAAAATTGAAACTGACATCATCAAGGAACTGCATTTTTCATTTAATTTTTTAACAAGTTTGGAGGACGTGTCTCTCAACGGATAATCAGCCTTTGAATGGGAACAAACTGTGCTCCTCTCCTTACCGACTTTTTCCTTTATTCGTATGAGACAGCTTTCATATATGAATTGTTTTTTTAAAGAATGAAATGAAGCAAGCGTTATCCTTTAACTTCTCGTTACATTATATAAATGGTGTCCTCTAAATGAATAAATCAAAGTTTGGTGACTAGATAGATCGCATCTATCCAGTTGAACTTTAAATAAAAGATACCACAGATAAGTTAAGACTGTTGTATACATTAAATTGCATCCAGAGATTGACAGGGAGGGTTGGTTTAGAACTTAATTTTACAACAATGATATGATTTCACATGCCTAATGGTTAACCTTCCATTTCTTAAAGCAAGTTTCAAACAATATCTGCATATGTGATATATATCACCCAATTACTGTGTGATTTTGAGGGTTTGCGTTTCCGCGTCTGGCGTAACAAAGACTGCTATTATTTATTAGTTTTTTTCCTTTGATTATTACCTGAAAAGAGAAAATTATGTTTACGAGGAAGCTATTGAATCAAGAGTGCCTAAAAGTTAAGCTGACCCAATCCCTTTGAAACTTCAACGGATGAAATCATTAATTGGTTGACTGCTGATATGTTCCATTTGTCGTAGATACATTCCTGTTCTACTTGTCTAGATTGTCACATTGTCGAATGCGACTAATCAACGGTTAATTACTTTCCGTTGGGAACACGGATGGTACAACAAGGGGAGCAGTAACGTACTTACCCTTCCGGGCCAACCGAGTGCAACTTCTTCTTGACTATCTTGAATTTCCTAGGCTTTCTGAAAATATATAACATTCCATCGATAGAAATTGTTTAAATGATCAACACAAGAACTGAACTACATGTCATTATTATATAACCTACATATATATTTATTGTTACAAAATATGGATTTTTTTTCTACAGTACTGTAATACTTAAAATATATTATAAATATTTCGAGAATTCCATCTTATTCTGTTTAATCTTTTTGCCTAAAGATACTTTTTGAATATTTACAACTTCTGTACATGTAAGTGTTTGCCGTAGGTGTCAAAGGATCACTCTATTAGATGCGTGTGTGTGCTGCTTTTTAAGTACTTTAATGTCAAAAACTTTTTCCTACTGTATTTGTCATTTTAATTGTTCAATCCAAGTAAATAAAAAACTCTGCCATCCACGTTATGAGAGGTATTATATTCAGAATTGAGAACATAACCATAACAACATTTTCTCCCTTTAAAAAAACTATTAAAAGAATTCGCTAGCATTTTTTCCATATGCTTGTATGAAAGCATAACATTTATCAAGAATCAACTTTAAACTCGAAATAATAAGACACAAGTGAAGGATCTGACAAGTTTTTTGGCGAACTGAGTTATGTTGCCTCTCAATGTGTTTGGAGTTTTATGTCGTCGGGTTGATGTCTCATGTGACGTTTATCCAACATAATATTTTATTCATATTATCTACATTTAGGTGCGAAAAGGTGAGGTTTGCAAGATTTACAACATTGTACAAGTAGACATTAGATGTGTTTAATATATTTTCAATCAAATTCATTCTTATTTATTAATTTTTCTTTTTCACTATAATCGCGGAATAACGAAAAGGTACGAGATTTAGGATAATAATATATCAGTTAAATAAATCCAACTCTTCGTGTTGCAGGTCTTACTGTAACGTTTAGTTGTCATTCTGAACTTAAAGACAGACTGAAAGATTAAGTTAAATTTTGTATATAAGTTTTGGATTAAAACAAAATTGAAACTGACATCATCAAGGAACTGCATTCTTTTTATTGCATTTTTTCCACGTTTGGAGGACATGTCTTTCAACGGACAACCGACCTTGTATGGGAACAAACAGTGCTCCTCTCCTTATCGACTTGTTCCTCAATTCGTATGAGACAGCCTTTATATATGAATATATGTTTTAAAGAATGAAATAAAGCAACCATTATCCTTCAACTTCTCGTTCCCTTATAACATGATTTATTTTAAAAGAATGAAATGAAGCAAGCGTTCCTTCAGCCTCTCGTTCCCTTATATGAATGATGTCCCTGAACTGAATAAATCAAAGTTTGGTGACAATATTGATCGCATCTATCCACCTGAAATTCAAATAACACATACCATAGATACAGTTTAAACTGTTGTATACATAAATTGCATCTATAGATTGACAGGGATGTTTGATTTAGAACTTAATTTTACGACAATGATATGATTTCACATGCCTCACTGTTAAACTTCTATTTCCTATAGCAACTTTCCAACAACATCTGCATATGTAAAATATATATCACCCAGTTACTGAGTGCTATTGCGTCAAGCGTAACAAAAATTAAGGCTGGTATTATTTATGAGATGTTTTTTAAATATTATTTGAAAAGAGAAAATCTCTGTTTAAAAGGAAGCTATTGAATCAAGAGTGCCTTAAAGATAAGCTGACGCAATCCCTTCGAAAATTCCACGGATGTAATCATGAATTAGTTGACTGCAGATATGCCCCATTTGTCGTAGGTACATTCCCGCTCTACTTTTTTCGATTGTAAAATTATCAAATATCGAATACAACTATTCAACATTTAATAACTTTCCGTGAGCAAAACGGATGGTACAAACTGGGGAGCAGTAACCTACTTACTCTTCCAGAGAAACCGAGGGTTTCCCATCTTTGATTTTTACGACTTTCCTAAGCTTTCTGAAAATATATAACATTCCAATAATAGAAATAGTTTAAATGATCAAAACAACAACTGAACGACATGTCATAATTATATAACCCACATATATATTTATTGTTACAAACAATGGATTTTTGTACAGTACTGTAATACTTAAAATGTATTATAAATATTTCAAGAATTGCATCTTATTCTGTTTAATCTTTTTGCCTAATCATACTTTTTGAATATTTACAACTTCTGTACATGTAAGAGTTTGCGGTAGGTGTCAAAGGGTTACTCTTCTAGAAGCGTATTGTGTGCGCTGCCTTTTATGTATTTTAATGTCTAAAAACTCTTCTTACTATATTTTTCAGTTTAATTGTTCAATCAAAGTTAATAATACATTCGGCTTTGCACTTTTTAAGAGGTAATATTTTCATAAAAGAGCACGTTACAACATTTGCTTTTGTTAATAAAACATTGAATGAATTCGTCAGCATTTTTTCCATATGCTAGTACAATAGCATATGTTTTATAAGGATCAACATTAAACTCGAAATACTAGTAATAAGACACAAATCAAGGATCTACTGATAAGTGTTTTGCAAACTGAGTTATGTTGATCTCTCAATAATTAAGCAGTTTTGTGTCGTCGGGTTGATGTCACATATGACGTTTATCCAACAAAATATTTTATTCATATCAACTTTGTTTAGGTGCAAAAAGAGTGATGTTTGCAAGATGTACAAGCAGACATTAGATGTTTTAATAGTTTTTCAATAGAATTTATTCTTGTTTCATAATTTTTCTTTTTCTTTATTATCGTGGAATAACAGAAAGGTACGAAATATGGGATAGCATATATCGGTATGATTAATCTAACTCTTCATGTTGAAGGCCTTACTGTAACCATGGTAACATTTAGTCTTTATTCTGAACATAAGAACAAATTGAAATAATAAATTAAATTTTGAATCATAAAATGGCCAATGCGACTCAAATCATTCTTTGAAGATAAATTTCGATTTCAAACAAAATGGAAACTGACATCATCAAGGAACAGAATTTTTTTAATTGCATTTTTTTTAAAACGTTTGGAGACGTTTATCTCAACAGACAATCGGCCTTTGAATGGGATCCAACTGTGCTCCTCTCCTTACCGACTTGTTCCTTTATGAGACAAACTCCATATATGAATATATATTTTTTAAAGAATGAAACGAAACAAGCGTTATCCTTTAACTTCTTGTTTCCTTATATAAATTGTGTCCCTATACTGAATACATCAAAGTTTGGTGACAACATTGATCGCATCTGTCCAGCTGAAATTCAAATAACACATACCATAGATACAGTTTAGACTGTTGTATACATGAATTACATCTATAGATTGACAGGGATGCTTGATTTAGAACTTAATTTTACGGCAATGATATGATTTCACATGCCTCATTGTTAAACTTCTATTTCCTATAGCAACTTTCCAACAACATCTGCATATGTAATATATATCACCTAACTACTGTATGATATTGAGGGTATGGCGCAACAAATCTTAAAACTGATATTGTCTATTAGCTTTTTTTTTTAATTATCACCTGAAAAGAGAAGATTTTTGTTAGATGGAAGCTATTGAATCAAGAGTGCCTGAAAGTTAAGCTGACGCAACCCCTTCGAAATTCAACGGATGTAATCATGAATTGGTTGACCGCAGTTATGTTTATTAGTCGTAGGCACATTCCCGTTCTACTTTTCTTGATGGTAACATTATAGAATGCGACTTATCAACGATTAATTACTTTCTGTGAGTAGAACGGATGGTGCTACAAGGAGAACAGGCACTTACTAACCCTCCCGGAGCACCCGAGTTCATCCTACGGTTGTTTGTGGGTTGATATTGCTCAATCGTTTGTTTACTGTGTATCGTTTTGTGGACTATTATTTTGTCCTTAAATTTTTTTTGGGTGATATCTGTTTTCCTACAATTATGATTTTCGATTGTCTCCTTTTTCCTCCCCATATTCGTAAGGTACTAATTGCATATACATGTAATAATTCATATCCTTTAGTTATTACTCACCCTTCTGTGGCAAGTAGATCATACACAGGCAGATATAGCTACGTTTTCATCACTTACGGTTCATTCAAATAACACCAACACTCAATGTTCCGTGTTTTTTCACACACTCCTTTCTCATATTTAAAGTACCGACACCACCAATCACATTCTTTTTGTGCATGAGGACAAAACTGGTCGATATTCAAGCTGGCCATGTGCTGCCTTATGGTCAGATGCTGCTTTTTGGCATGCAATCCTGAAAATGTTATTCTTAATTTGTTGATATACACGGTATATAAGGCTAACTTTGTTCAATAACCAACGTATTACGTGACCATTTTTAATAAAAATTCATTGAATTGTTACTCTACGGGTAAACTCGGGTATAAAAATATGTTTTTTTCTGGATTTTTCAAACCCGGAAGTAAAAATTCATGCACTTTGGTCGAGGGAGAAAATTTTTTATTCATTAGTTTTTTATTGGGCAAAATATTATGTGCAGCTGCACAGTTTCATATTCTGAATAAGTATAACTAGCATTACAATTTGGCACAGAACATTTTTCCAATAATGTATACATTGTGACAACAAAACTTCTTTATGATCTGACAGCGATCTAGACATTTTCTTATTGCGAAAGAAACATAGAGAATCAAAAAGTGTAATGAAGTCCCCCTCGGTTAAAGATGGACAAGACACCACAATGACCGTACGAAAGTAAGACAAAATTATATAAAAAAAAAAATCTACATTAAAAAAACACCTTTATATTGAGAAATACGAACCAAATCAATTCGAATTCAGATGACACGGAAGAGAAATTTGTTCCTGCTCAACTGAACTGGTGGTACCGTCTTGATGCTCATAACAGGCTAGTGAGAATTTGCATTGCTAGATCATTGTTTGATAGTTTGCTGTTTGTTTAGCGACCAGATCCAAATATTTATGCATGTTCAGAATGCAATGAATGCAATAGGTAGGTTATTTTAAGTGAGTCGTCAGGGATGAAGTACTTGAATTCGGACAACCACTGAAAACTAACGGTGTTTGATAGATCAGAAACATTATTTACAACAGGCCACCCATAGACCCCTCGAATAGCTATTACAAGGGTTCAATAGCGTGGCACTTTTTCTGCGCTAGTCATCGCAATTAACGTCTACATTCCGATCAGACGTGGCTGCGTATTTATACGTCTCACAACTTCGTGATATCCGTGGTGTTAGAAACAAAACAAGGGGGATTATGGCTAATACAAGATTTGTGCACTACTTAATATAAACGTAAACATTCGTTTTAAGAGTTGTAATTTATCGTAGCATTCAAAAAGTTGAATTATGAAACTAATCTTAGTCTTATTTCTAGTGCATATATATATGACTGATAAGCAATTTTATAAATTATTGGAAAGATAATTATTTACTGTGAATTCATTTTTATTTCTGGATACCAATTTTCGCGGAATTCGTTGGTAGAGGTGAAAGATGCCAAAGGGACATTGAAACTCATTAGTCGAAAATAAACTTACAACGCCATGGTTAATAACGAAAAATAACAACAAAACAAATACTACACTAAACACAACATAGAAAACTAAAGACTGAGCAACAAAAACCCCACTAAAAACTAGGCGTAATCTCAGGTGCTCCGGAAGGGTAAGTAGATCCTGCTCTACATGCGAAACCCGTCGAAATGTAATGTTCAATAAAAAAACAAATTTTTAATATTCTTGTATGCAGACTTTGTCAGAACCACGAAATCTCATATTCAGGTAAATACAAGTTTTCCTGAATCCACGAAAATTGGTACCATAGAAATAAATGAATCCAGAGTATTTTGAAAACGATTTTATGTAGGTAAGTTTTAAAAATGTTATTTTATTTAAATATATTAACTAGATTTATTGATTATAATTGTATGTTTAAAGAAAAGATAAATGTATGTATGGCTAATGTTCGTTAAATTTGTTTCTGTCACAGCATGAGAAAAATTATCTGAGGAATAATACTCAGTGTTTATCTTATTTAATGGACAATTTTGTATCGGTATAGAATGTTCCTCATTTTACAATGTTTAGATAATATATCATAATCTATCGAAGTTGCATTTTTAAACCTTTATTTTTGTTCGTTAAATGTTTAAAGATACTGAATGATGTGAAGACCTCGTGCTTCACAGGAAGCACAAAGAGTTTCGATAATATTATGAATGAAGGTATATAATGTTTTGTACATACATCAGGCCGTTAGTTTTCTCGGTTGAATTGTTAAACATATGCCATTTCGAAGCATTTTGTAGTTTACTATGCGGTATGGATCTTGTTCATTGTTTAAGTGACCTATAGTTATCTTCCATGTCATTTAGTCTCTGGTGAAGAGTCGTCATATTGACAATCATACCACATCTTCTTCTTTTAATGTATTACTTTGAAATAAGTTAATAACAATAATCATGATAAAAATGAATCATTAATTAGTTAACTTCATGTTTCTCAATTAGTTTGCATGTTGTTGTTCTGTAATTCTCACTACCGTCAAAGTCATATGAAAAAAGTTCTTGTGATATAGATATTATCGCAATTATTGAACTAATGCATGCATATATACTAAACTTAGTCATAAGTGAAATGGTGAAATGATTTTCATTTTTAGCACCCAGTTTGGTTCAATTTTGTTAAAATAAGCTAAGAAACATGTCTGATGAATTATTTACTTTCAAGTAAATAATTTGACTCCATTGCATCCGTATTCATGTGACCTTCAATCAAACCCCCTAGCTAGAAATAAGATATGCATAAACTAGGCATGTTCAGCTATTTAAAGGAAATGAATGTCAACGTTGAAAGTGAAACAAAGGTAAACAATTTATTTAGCTGATTCTATCCACAAAAACTCATTCTTATACAGATAAAAACGATAATTAACATATTTCACGTGTTTGCTATCTATTTACATCTATAATTATGTTTATATCGGGTTATATGACCGTCGACAGTCTTCGGGGGTCACCTCGGTGGTTAAATAGATGGCTTACAGGCTAAAATACACACTAAAAACCGGAACATATTATCAGATACTTTTTTATAATATGGATATTTGTTATGTTTTAAATCAAATATGAAACTTTTCCTCAAATTGGTGAACAAGAAAATCACAGCAAATGCCACTTTAAGAATATATTATTACCACTTAACTTCCAGCGCACGTTTGTTTACATTCTTTCATCACGGTTTCCCCTTGCCATTGCACTATGCGGTGACTGAAGTTCTAACGAGAGGTCGTGTAATCAAGGTCTCTGCTCATGCATACGGGACAATATCGGCGAACTAGCGTACGGTAAGACAATAATTCAATAACAGTACATTTATAAAGATTTTGATAATATGAAGGATTTTGTTTTTACAAGAAAGTTACCGTATAATGTTTTATAGTTAACTTAGCCATTTAAGTATAAAAAAACCATATTAAACTTTAAAATAAAAGCTTTATATGATTTTAATTGATTAAATTTGCGGCAACATAACACACGCATGTAGATTTGATAATATATATATATGTACAGCAAACTATTTGATATCTAAATCTTTTACCTGCAACGCAGAGTGAAAGTATAAATGCAACGAAGAAATACTTCATGTTCTTGATTTATACCAGGAGTCAGGGACAAATATCTGTAAAAAAGTATTAACCTTATTAACACTAATTGAAAATGAACTATTATTCTCATTATACTTTAATGCAAATTTCTTATATCATCCATTCATTTCATTGGTCACGCGACATTTGTTAATTTTTACTAGCCTTTCCTAAGCCCCGCCCACCCATAGCAATGTGTGATATTATTAGTAACGGGTGTAAATGCAAAGAATTAACACCAGCTGAGTCCGAAGTTTGTCGATCCGAAACAATTAACACCCGCTCCAGCCGAGTTTCATTGATTCTGATTTCTATATATATATTATTTCTGTCGTTGTGTCGTTGTTATTAGTAAACTATCTTAAATAATGACTTTATTTTTTTACTTTTACAATTGTCCTTCTAATAACATAGTGCACACTTGAATCATAAGGCATCCAGTATAATAAAAAACATACTGCCCTTGGGTGAAGCTGTTAAGGTGATTATCATACTCGATGAAAAAAATTATCACCCTGGTGGAATGTTTTCCCTCGTGTGTTAGTCTTCCCTAACACCTTCATCAAACACAGTATGTTTATAAAGACCGTTGTAAATTCACCCTCCAATATATTTAGTTCTCTATGATCATTCATGTTTTAAAGAGAACATTTTTTTCAGTTAACGATTAATCAATATTAATGTATAAGTATTAAGCTTCTGGGTGTTAAAATATGTTTCCTGCTGACCTATAATGCCTTTTGGGCATTGGTGTCATTGGGTGCCTGTCTCACGTATAACTCACATCTCCGTTTATTCATATTTATAATAAAGAAATTATACAGCCGATCATATGAGTTATAATAGAAGTAAAACAAAAAAACTCAACGAAAAAGTATAGCTTCGTTACAAAATGCCATTTGTTTGAGAAAGAATGATATCTTGTTTAGCAATAAACACTTTACCTATTAAGTTTACGTAACCTGTTGATCATTCTCCTGTTTGACCCTTTTATAAATGATCTTGAATGATACACATGGCAAACAAAAAAGATATTCTATATTCTATTGTAATACATCACTGTGTGTGATGTCATGTGCTGTCGTTAATGGATAAGATCATAATAAGATGTTCGTTGTTATTCTGGGTTTTACATGTTGTAACGACTATTATATTATTTATTTGTGCGTTTATCTGTGCTGAGTGTTCTTGTGTTTGTTTGTGCTGTATTTCTGTCACGTAGTGGTGTGATTTTAAGAATAGTTTTTAACATCGCCGTATAAGCGGGAGATTTGGCTAGCCATAAAACCAGATTAAACCCACCATTTTTTCTCAAAATGTCAGTACCAAGTCAGGTATATGGCAGTTGTTATCAAATAGTTCGTTTCTATGTATGTTTCTATTAGAAAATGAAAGGATATGGAGTAAATGCACATGGGACAAACTCGCACACAATACATAGAAAACATGGAAAATTATCAATGAACAGGGCTTTTATTCCTGTTCTTCATCTTGACAGTTGATATAGAGTCTTCAACAATGAACGAATCATTCGTACCCTACAACAAGGTCAAGACGGCTTCCATTCTCCATTTTATGCATTGTCGTTTGTTTTTGTTTCATTCAGTGTTTCTGTTGTTCCGTTGTTTTCCTCTTATATTTGATGTGTTTCCCTCGGTTTTAGTTTGTAACCCGGATTTGTTTTCTCTCAATCGGTTTATGACTTTTGAACAGCGGTATACTACTGTTGCCTTTATCTATTGTATACATATATAAAAAAAAATGGCATTTTTGTTTTTGATACTGACTAAGTAGGAATATCAAGCAAGCCCGCAAGAAACACAGATATTGATACTTCTGTAGGAAAAGCAAAAAAAACATCAAAAATACTTGATTATACTCATAGTGAAATATATGCTGACAGTTACATGTACTTAAAAGTAAAAAGCTCATTATATTTTAAATATGTACTTACAGTGTTTTTGAAACTGATTTTACCTGTAAAATCCTTAAAATTTCCGGCTCAGCAGAGTAATATTCATATATTTTTCTACTATAGTTTTCTCAAGGTTGTCCAAACATTTTGATAGGTCATTGTAAATGTTCACCTTATCAACCGACATTAAAAATAAAACATTTAAAAAAAAGTCTGATTTATCATTATTACACCACATGTTATATGAATTTAAAGAATATTAAGCGATGGAATGCGGACTTTGTTTGATAAATTACTGTATTTACCATAAAGGTTTCAGTAGGGTTAATTGTATTTTGTTCAGCAGTTTCCTTTATCGTGATATTGTGGTCAGCAAATATATCCTCACTTTATATGTGTTATAACATGTAAAAATACTAATTATGTTATAAAGAAGTGAACTTACATCAGTCTTGTTATATCGTCGTGTCCAAAACATGAGTAGAATACTGTATAAGGTAAACAGGTAAATATAAATCGAGACAAACAATTCAAACGACCATTTTTGTTCATCGTCCCGTGCAAATCTTCCGGTTCTAAACAAACGAAAAAACTAAACTTGACTGCCAAACCATAATGACCAATCGAATACAATGATTAAAAAAAAACTCCTATGAATATTCATCATATCAATGAAAAAGTATAATATATATTACTATACACTAAAAGCTATTTGCAAGTAAATAATTTTAAGACATTACGACTTGTAGATGAAACAAAAACATATACTCTAAAATCAGAAAATTATCGATTACCATTTCTTTTAGGTCAAGTGTCAAGGGGCAAAAATTTCGGACAGAGAACAAAATTTTAACAAATCAAACAATTTGGTTGTTTCTGCAAAGTGCATGACTAATCCAGGATTATCATCGGAAAATTTAGATTGCCCCCCCTTCCCCCTCGGAAAAAAAGATTAAACTGAAATAGGGATGATATGTGAATGAACTTCTTTGAGTGTTGAAGCATTGACTTTCAGTCATTTCAGAAATGCACCCTTTAAGATAAAAGTAATGAGAAGTGCATGATATTCAGATTTGTTCGTTCACACATAATATTACCCAGGGCAATTTCGATAATCCGTCTTCTGTGTTTGTTATATTGTTGTCATGGTGACTTCAATAATTAGCAGACAAATTTTTTTTGATCTGTGTATATTTCAATTCAATATAAAAAAAAAATGAAATGGTTGTTCTATTCCATTCCATAATCATTTTACAGACTTTTTTCCCTGTCAAAAGTTTCAAAACTGTTAATGTTTATGACCCCTTCTGTAGCCATTTAGTACATATACCAAGAAGAAACGTTGTTCAGAGCAATACTGTTAAATATTTCATAGCACTCAATAGAAAATGTAGATTTGGTGACAAATAAAGCCAAGAATTTTGCAGAAAACCCACATGTTTTATTACAGAGATTTTCTTTATAAAATTGTAAACATAGATTAATTACTTGTTTGTCTATGACGTGGTAGCGTTTATTGTCTACAAAAAGTCCTAAACAACCTTTACAATCCAAAACACCGCGTGCCGAGTAACTAAAGTCGAGCGCACCATAGATGGTTTTTAAAGAAGTCTATTTTTATAGTTGTTTTAACCAATATCTTTATTTAATATATACTTGTTTAAGAAAAATCATTGTAATCCATATCTATTAATCCACGAATTGTCAAATACAAGGGATGCGGATTTATTTCATAAAATTTCCATATGTTTATCTTTGAAGCTACAAAAGGTAAATTATCCTTAACACGGTCAAATAGTTATGCTATTATATTTCACGAACTTTTTCATTGGACAAAAAGTCGTTTTTACCATGGTAAAAAAACACTAAGATAACTGCTAAATGTTTGTGTCTGTCGTCGTCATTTTCTTGGTCGGCTTTTAATCTATTAAATGAAATAGCAGGAATAAATGTTATATTTGAAAAAAAAGCAAAATCCATACGACAAGTCTAATTTTCTGTTAAACATAACAAATGTATGGTTTGGGTCTGTCGTCTACTCTTGTGATTATTTTAATATAATTTTAATTTGGATGAAACACGTCTTCTGATTGGCTGTTTTTGTCTATTTGCTCATAGACATAAACATAATTTTATCATGTGACCGTGACGTCATCAACCTATTTTTCAATATGTACTCCTTAAAAAGAAGTAAATTATAAAGAATGATTGTAAAATTGTTTCTGTCTATTCGAAATAACCTAAAAAATGTGGTGCACACTTTTAAAATAATCCGCTACGCGGGTTATTCAGTGTGCACCACATTTTTGATGTTATTTCTTCAAAGACAGAAAAAAAGTACGGTATAATTTTAGTTACAGGCAATTATATGCACTGACATTTTGACACTAGGATCCTGCTTTTAATTACTGTAAACTTAATGTCTACAAATAACACAAGGACAAAATAAATGCTTTTCCATACACCATGTGCATGTACAATATGTATATATTTGTTTGTCAGGTGGTGTATCAGGATTTCTTTTAATTTCGTGTGATTATGTATGATAAGTGTATACTATTAGCCACCTTTCTATGATTGACGGATGCATTTTGGTTATTTATTTCGTTATGTTGCAGTATCATTATATACGCGTATACTCCACATCCTTATTTGTTCATAAATAATTGTACATTTACAATTTAATTCAATTTTACTGTCAAATTTAAAAGAGAGAGAAAGAGAGAATTCGCCATGAACTATTATAGCGACGTTTTATTCGTCATCAGGGATGAATTTTAAAAGAGAAGCAACTATACTTAATACAAAGACACTTTATCGTTTGTTTCAATACTTCTTAAATTTTCTAACCCTTTTTTTTTTAAACCTGGATATTCCACTTGTCATATTGTATATCTTTTACGTATATAATAATATTTTGTATTGTGGGACTTATCTGACATGTAGCATGATATGTACTTTAGTTTATGAATTGCATGCTTCTTTTTATAATTTATGGGGGTGTAACTGCTTTGAAAAAAGCACATTTTGTGCGCTTCATTTTAAAGATGTGCACACAATCAACTCTTTTACAACCCTAAACAATTTAAAAAGGAGCAATTATATTTTTATGCTACAACGATAAAATGAAGATTTATATCAAGCTTTTCGTTTGTTTTTCAATGCATTATTTTAACATTGTCAAGAAAAGCACGTGTAGTCATAATTGTGGTATTCTATACGAAAACAAAATATGATATTGGAGTGCCACGCGATTGTTGTGAGCCAATCAAAATTCTAATGAAACATAATCATGTAATTATTTGTATTTAACCTCTCTGTTTATTCATAAACGTTTTGATTTATCTTTGTAAATGTTTAGTAAAACGCCGTTTAACTTCGCCATGTTAACCGATATTTAAACAAAACAATAAATATTTAACAACAAATTGCTTTCTTTAAAAAAGAAAAGCAACACGTGAACCAGAGACCGCTGACTGGTCACCAAAAACTTGTTTGTGAATTTTAATTTTTGCTTTTGATTTGAAATAATTGAATGTGAATAGAATAAGGCAATGATGATGTTAAAACCCCTTTATTGAAAATATGTAATTGTGTGAAGATTCTTGCACAAGTCAATGATTAAAAGCACTGTTGGGATTTTAGTTGTAAATAGAAAAGTGCATACAGCTACCATTTGAATTTACCTTTTAAGGCTTGACTAATTTATCTTTAACTTGGGTGTATACATCATTTATTTTTCTACGTGTTTAATATATAAAGTCCTAATCCTATTGCAATTCTCAGTTTCAGCAAACCGGATGTCTAAAGCAAATTGCACAAACCAATCAAAATATAAAGTCCAGTTCTCAGTTTGTTGGATGCGTTTATTTTATCTTTCATATCTTCATATTTTGTTTCCTGGTGCTTTTTTGAATTATTCTTGTACTCATTATTGAAGCTGTTTGTACTCATGGTAGGTGTGGTATAGAGAAATTGAAAGTCCAATTGCCATGTGAAGTGTAACTCTGTGACATGCAACTTATATGAAGGTTTCGTGTTTTGTTCTTGAGAGTAACACACCAGCTTCATTTGGAACTCTTATGTGATGACAATTATTTTGGTCTCATAAAACATTTCAAAATTAAAGATTTCATGAAGTTACGTAAATCAATTCAAATATTCGACGGCAAACACCTAGTTTTGAATAATATCTTGTTTCAGAAGTTTTATGAATAACTGCTATGAACATGCTTTCAAAAGAACCAATTTGTAAAAAGTTTATGTTTGGTAAAAGTCAATAAACTCATCATAGACACGTGATCAGGATTGAAGTTTTGCACGCCTGACGCGCGTTTCGACTGCATAAGACTCATCGTAACGCTCGAAAAAAAAAGTGAAAAAAGCCAAATATAGTACAAATTTGAAGAGCACTGAGGCTAGACCCCCAATTCCGAAAAGTTTTTGCCAAATATAGCTAAGGTAATCTATTCTTCGGGTAGAAAATCCTAAGTATTTTCGAAAATTTCAAAGTTTATAATAGGACAGTCACTCAAAAAAAAAAAAAAAGGAAAAGAGAAATAACTAGAGCACCTTAATGATGACCATGCTTCAAAGTCACATGTCAAGCTCTTACTTTTAGATAAGAAATGCGAAAATTCACATTCCGCTAGTGAAATTATTGTGTACGTATGCACGTGGTTTTCTTGCGCAAGAAATAGTGAATGGAAAGCAAACGAACTGATATTCTGGATAAGAATATGCTTTTACGTCATCACGTATATTTATTCTAGACTCAAATCTAATGTTAGCTGAATTCGGATGTCAAACTGCCTTCATCAAGTCGTTTGATTCCGGATTCCTTGCCATTTAATCCGGAATTTGTGTGAACGCAAACCGATATTGTTGTCAAATCGGATTGCAAATCCAAATTTGTTGTGTCGTGTGAACAGGGTGTAATAAATGGTAAATGAAGCAAAACTTCTGTAGGGAAGATGGTCAACAGATTGAATACAATTTTCAAAACCGCACCATACTGCAAAGATTTAGATTCTATTTAAAGGTTGAACAATTAAAACACAAAAAGAATAGAGATTTAATTAATATACATTCATAGCTGTTAATAAGTCTTTTCCGGAAATTAAAATATACTATCAACAAACGCAAACGTCAAGTATTTACTAATG